TTCGGACTTTCTAGTGGCGGGGATGTTAAGGAGGAATTGAGGGCAGTGCTGTTTGTAAGACGAGGTGTGGAAAATCCGGCGTTTGTTGGCGAATCGGTTATAAGAGAAGGCAGTGCGAGGAGCCATGCGGGTGTCCATGTCTGGCGCTGAGTTTTCATAACACGTGAGGGTTTCGAGTCGGAAAAGTTCTTTTGGGCGATATATTGACCTCGTGTTGTTTGCATTGAGTTAAATGGCGTGGTGGAGAGAAACCGTTTATCTACTTTGCTTGTGTTCACGGGACTTTTAAAAGCTCACGACGGGATATTCAATGGTCGATACAAGTGTTGTGGAGTCGTGTTTGGGTTCAGAGCCACGTTTTATCAAGTTGCACGACGTTGGGAGGCGGGTGTGGGAAGGAGCTGAAGGAAATGTACGCGAGTTAAGTGTCCGCATTGCTCAGAAGTATGTGACGGTTTCTTTGTGGTGAATTGCCATGTAAAAAGTAAATAAATAAATATAATGCTTTGGAAAGAAACGTGTGTATAGTTTCATGTATGCTCATTGATAGAATTTTCGCATGCAAGTAATCAATTTAGGACCAAGCCTTTGTATTAGCCTCCTGCTCATTACCCTACTTCGATAGATTAAATGAGTTGAATTAAAGTTTCAGACAGTAGTGATGTCCACCATAAACAGTGCAGGAAATTGTGGATTGATTCTGCGCCATCTCGTTAAGCAAATGTAACGCTAATATTCCAAGTAAGTTTGTTGATGCACCGTTTTAAAGGCTCGCAAACCTCTATTAAAAGTTTTATCAATAAATTGCTTAGGTCTACAAGAACTCCATATGCAACCAGTTTCACTAGCTACATCAAGTATCCATACAACGGTGGATTCTTTTGTGAAGCATTTGGAGATGCATAACTTAAGGTAGATGCATATTTACCTAGGTTAATGTTACTGAGTGACTGATAGAGGGAAATGGACACTGCCATTTTATAGAGCATAAAGTCAAACACCAATACAGCTGCTGCCTCATATTTACTGAAAATTGTTGAGTGTTGCTGCTTGTTGCTTCTCACTGTCCACAGCACCTAAACATGCTCTTTGAGCACTGCTAATAAAGGAGTAGACAGGTTGGGCTTCCTTTCCTGTCTAGGGAATAAATAGAAGGTAGGGAAGAATAGGTCTGGATTTTTGGATTTGCATAATACCCTGGTCTTGGGATCTCTGGAGGGTGCATCAGTTTTGGTAACAAATTCCATATCTTTTTAAGATAAAACATTGCTTACCTTAGCAAGCTGCAGAATTGAAATGCACAAGGCTGTGTGTCACCCTTAGTTTATTCACTTGTCCATCCATTAATTATAAGGAAGCTATAGAACTTCCAAGTCTTGTGGTGGACACTTCACCGGGAGAGACTTGGAGTGCGTACTAATTTGCCTCCTCGTCTCTCCCCAGGTGACGGTGTCCACGGCAACGGGTGCAGTGCAGCTTCTTCAGGAAGACCTGCATTGGTGATTGTGACCACCGCGTGTGGTTGCAGCAGACCTGAGCCTGCTGCACCAGTTTCTGCTGGAAGACAACACTCACTTTAACCACAATGCCGCAGAACGAGCATATTGAGCTTCACCAGAAGCGCCATGGCCGGCGCCTGGATTATGAGACGCACATGCGGAAAAAGGCTGCAAGAGCCCACAAAGACCTTTCATGGAAGGCACAGAAATTGCATGGAATAAAGGGCAAGCTCTTTGGAAAAGAACGTCGGAAGGAGAAGATTCAGATGAAGAAGACCCTGAAAGCCCATGAAGAGAAACTCAACAAAAAGAAGAACAAGGAGGAAGTGCCAGAAGGTGCCATTCCATCCTATCTTTTGGACCGTGAGGGTGAATCGAGAGCCAAAGTCTTGTCTAATATGATCAAACAGAAGAGGAAGGAGAAGGCTGGTAAATGGGATGTTCCACTTCCTAAAGTTAGGGCACAGTCTGAAGCAGAAGTGTTCAAAGTTATCAAGACCGGTAAGAGAAGAAAGAAAGCCTGGCAGCGTATGGTGACTAAAATTACTTACGTTGGTGACAACTTCACAAGAAAGCCTCCCAAGTTTGAAAGGTTCATAAGACCAATGGCACTCAGATTCAAGAAAGCTCATGTTACACATCCAGAACTGAAAGCAACATTTTGCTTGCCCATAATTGGAGTGAAAAAGAACCCAAGTTCAACCATGTACACATCATTGGGAGTGATTACAAAGGGTACTGTAATAGAAGTGAACATTAGTGAACTGGGTCTTGTGACTCAGAGTGGTAAAGTTGTTTGGGGCAAGTATGCCCAAGTTACAAATAATCCAGAAAATGATGGTTGCATTAATGCAATTCTGTTGGTGTAAGAAAGTTAATTTCAGAGGATTTCTGAACCTGGATTCCAAAGCCTACTTGAAAGAATATATGTGCTGTTGTATTCTGCAGAATTTATAAATAAAGAATAAAAGTATTCATGTTTTCTTAAACCTTTCATACTTAGATTTTGGTAATGGTCATGGGATTACTGTTAGGGGTGTTTAACGAGTGATGTACCTTCTAGCGTCCAAGATTTATTTACACATACCTAATGTTGGGGTATCATGTGAATCCAGAAATCCAAACCTAACCATTCCTTCCTTCTTTTTATTCACTAGACAATGTGGTGGACTTGGTATCTGAGCAGTGATGCAAGGCTGCAGCAGCTGTGCCTTTTATTTTTTTTTTATTTTTTTTAATTATTGCTCTCTATAAGGTGGATGTGATTATTTCACTTTATCCCCATGCATTGCCCTCCGTAATATCCCATGGTGGTAGGATTTTTTTTGCAGTCTATCTCAAGTAACTTTAAAATGATCAGAATAATGAAACTTGTCCTTTCACAATAAGAAATTTGCAAAGATTAAACAAGTGTCAGAACATTGTATACAAAATTCCATATCAAAGACAACATAGAATAGGTTGAATAATTTTTTCACAGCTCTCTGGGGTTTGAACTTAAAATATATTGAACCGTATTCATTTTGTCATGTAGAAAAGGTATGAATGAGAATGAATATCTTCACAATACAAGGGATGGGTTTGACAGGTTTTGATTATATCGTTGTCAGAAATATACATATTTCTGACAATAATCAATGGAGGTCAAATACATCCCTTGTATTGCAAAGACATTAATTCTCATTCATATCTTTTCTACATTGTTAGAAAAGTCTTGGAATACATGTCAAATATCCAGAGAATACTCTAGGTATGGAACAATTTTTATTGATGCAATGTAAATGTGTGTCTGTTCTCTTGCACTATTGATTTTATACTTGGACTAATTAAAAATGTGACTATAGAAATTTATATTTTTCAGACTGCCACCATGCAGATCTTCGTTAAAACCTTAACGGGGAAGACCATCACCCTTGAGGTCGAGCCTTCAGATACTATCGAAAATGTGAAGGCAAAGATCCAGGATAAAGAGGGTAAGTTCAATCATTGTTAATGTTCATTTCACACACTATATATTCCTATTTAGTAAGTAATAATGACCCTGAAACTTTTGTAATTTTGATTTTTTGTTTTTCAGGAATTCCCCCAGACCAACAGCGTCTCATCTTCGCTGGCAAGCAACTTGAAGATGGTCGTACTCTGTCTGACTACAACATCCAGAAAGGTAAGCTTGTGTGATTAATTTAATTCAAGTCTATTAAATGAAAGGCAATAGTTTAAGAATAATTTTGGTATTGTTAATCTAATATCCTGGTTAAATTATAAATGTATAAATACTGCTGTTCATTAGTGTATAACAAGATCTTGTATACAGATTAACCCATTGGCAAATGATGCTAAACTGACCACAAAGGAGCTATAGTAGACTAACTTTGCCTTATTTCTGCAGTCCTTAAACTCAGTCCTGTTGTGAAATTTTGTTCAATAGTTTTGTGATATCCCTACAGATGGTTCAAAGTTCTCTGCCACCGAGACCTCTTGACTTCGCCATATTTTCTTCCCTTAACTTTTTGGATTCGTTTTTCAAAACTAGGGATCACTAATTTTATTTCTTCCATCCCAGAATCGACTCTTCACTTGGTACTGCGCCTTCGTGGTGGTGCCAAGAAGCGCAAGAAGAAGAATTACACTACCCCCAAGAAGATTAAGCACAAGCATAAGAAGGTTAAGCTTGCTGTGCTGAAGTACTATAAGGTATGTGCACCACCAATACAAAACTTTGAAATGTTGGTATGATAGTAGGCCAGGCAAACAGGAACTGGTGTGTGGTGAGAACTACTCCCCTTTGCAATGTTCTTCTTTTATACTTTAGCATTTTTAGCTTTAACATTTTCCATCACTAGTTTATCATGCTCAGGGATTTCTGTTTACCTGGTAGTGTTGGGTTTTAAAATATTTTTATGTAATGCAAAATTCACTACTGGATCTGGCAGCCTAGAGTAGGATGCTGAGCTTGGAAATGGCGTCTGCCATGAAGCCAGGGCTCTTCCAGTCATGGTTCAGACATTTCAATCCACTTGTTTATCAATGGGAGTAATTCAAAAGCCCCATTTCTAAGTGCCGTACAAGTCAGATTGCTCTCCATTAGGTTCTTGCAGTAATGGCCAGTCTTTCCTGCCACCCCAGCCTTCAGCTGAAGTTTGTATTACCCAGATTTCCCCATGACAGCATTTTGTCACCCAATTCTCAGGCCAAATTTTTTCTAAGACATGATGGTAACATTATCCAGATCATAGGGGTTAAAATGATGTTTAATGTGTGCTTATACTCTTGCAGGTGGATGATAATGGCAAGATCACCCGCCAGCGCCGTGAGTGTCCCAGCGAGGAGTGTGGTGCTGGTGTGTTCATGGCCAACATGTTTGATCGTCAGTACTGTGGAAGATGCCACTTGACTTTTGTCTTTAATAAGCCAGAATAAAGTTGATGGTAACTACTGTGTATTTGAAATCTCTCCTCCACACTTTATGAAATTTAGTAGCAAGGTATATCAGGGGGTGAAATTATTTGAGATGTTTTTAGCATTTATTAAATGAAGTTATGAGCAACTTACTTCACAATTAGGGCTTACAAGTAGTACAAACATGCTGTTGAGGCACAGGACAATTATATAAAGTGGTTACAAAACATTTTGATACTAAAGGTAGTGGGAGAAATTCACACCGAGTATTAACTAGTCATTGTTTATCACAGCCTAGGATATTTTACCAAATTAAAGCTAGCAGAGTAAATTGACAACTAAATGTTGAACATTGTGCGAGTATGTATATAATATGCATCGCTTGAATGCACATACCTATGATGCCATTTCAGTGTACTCAAAATTATTCTATTGATATGATTTTTTGTTCATACCTACTATATTAGGCACAAAATCAAGACAAGAATGAATGCCTTGGGATGGGATAATTCAAAATACAAAGAAAAAAAAAAAAAAATTATGCACCTGATGACAATATGCAAGTAAAGAACTGCATCCAAGAGAACTTCAAGGTCTCAATTTCTATGTGTTCATATAGATACCAAATATACACCCATTATAAAAGGAAAATAATTGGGATTATACACATTACCTAGAAGAGCAGCATATCAAGTCATGTAAAATGGAATTCCATTACTACTAGACTTCATTGAATTCAATATAGTTGTGAAATCAAATGTATTTTGTAAAATGGGAAGGCATGTATTTTACTTTACTAATGAAACTTGTTTCCAAGGCATATTGGTGGTTGGATATACAATACTTAATTTACATGTTTTTTTTTACACAGACCATGAAATCTACTGTAATGTAATACATACATGCATTTTAATAAGTGAGTTTTGCACCTGTAACCAAGTTCTGAATAACTGAAAATTCTTTGCTGAACTCAGATATTTACCATATGTTAGTGCCCTGTGTATTACATTTTTTTATGTAACACAATAAGGTCAACATGTCCATTCTAGATTAGTAAAGCCTTCAGTATCCCCCTGAAGATTTATTTGCACTTTCTAAGCCACCATAGTTTGCCTACTAATTACAAATCTTCAAAAATCTCTTAAATTGCAAATTGAATTGCAGATAATTTTGTTAAGGACAGGCCTACACAAGTTAACTACACTCAGCACCAGGGCAATGATCCAAATTACAGCAATTGGGGCAGACCTTCAATGTGATGATAAAGGGTCAGAGCAACTGATTATTCATCAAACATGGCCAGAGGGTTAGTGTTTAGCATGAAGTATCTGAAAATATGAAAATAAAACCGTAATAATAACAGGGTCATTTAAATAAAATGTTAATTTTAAAAATAAAAGCTGCATCAACTATTGTCAAATTACATGGATACTGTACAAGAGAACTGCTGTCCATTTCCATGTCAGTCAAGTTCAGACATTAAATTTCTAATTGTTGAGGACTATTAAGTTCTCACTACATACATGATTTCCTGCACCATGCCGATTTTTTAAGTTATTTTAAACAAATAAAAGTGCTAGACATCAAAGGTCATCTAAACCTATGGTAACATATTGTAGTAGTAGAGAATTTAAAGCTCTTTATTAGAAAATGTCTTATGGAGTAGGATAGTGATTGACAGAAGGGCAAGGGTTAAAGACAAAGGGTGGTTAGTTCAAATGGAGGGTATTTATACATCTGACAAAGGAGAACAGGCTGTTAATTGAAAAGTGGGGGATTCTGTGAGGATGTTTGCCAGTTTGGAGGGTAGGGGAAGAGAGGACAAGTTGGGAAAAGCGAGGGTACAGGCTTCAGTAACATGGGGGCAGGACAAAAGGATATGTGGAACTTAAAGAGGAACATTGAATGTGGAGCATAGAGGTGGGTTGGAATGTGACATGAGGTATGAATGCATGAGTCAGGTGTGACCTATTTGTTAACCCATTTGCACCAGGTAAAAATGGGGAAAATGCTGTGCTCATTTTTTATGAAATATCTCTACACTAGATGGCTCTGCCTTACCTAATTTTACCTTTACTTGAATTGGCGGGAAAATGTATTTTTACTAGTGTTACAAATATCAATGGTTATTTTTATTATAAACATTATAATTACTATAATGTTATAATCATTAGTAACAACAAAATAAGATAACGCAAAATAATTTCGTAAATTAAAGAAAAGGGTAAACAGGCAAGACAGGCAGTACAAGTACATGTGTAGCCATCTATGTGTGAAAACAATTAAACAAGTAAACTCACAGTGCGAATGTCATGTATACATGACGCCCGGCACGAATGGGTTAACAGGCAAGGGCATTTTCCTAGCATCTGTTTTAGTGGTATGCGGCCAACCAAGGGGAGGTGGAAGGTTTTATGGTGCACAAGCTTTCACATGCAGTCAGCCAATTGAGCTGAAAATTTCATACAGGAAAAACATTTACCTCAATATGTGTTTCTAACTGCAGCATACATCATTTTTTAGGGAAAGGCTTAAAAAATAATAGTGATAATAAATAAATAAATAAATAAATAATAACAACAATAACAATATTAATATTAAGCTTACTTTTGAGGGCCTTTATATGCTCAATGACCACAGTCATGATAAAACAAATGAACAACTTGGTTTCAGACTCCATCACATGGCATGAGTACTAAGGTTGAACATCATCCAGTGTTACTGAGTTAAGGATTTCCATAATGACTTTTTCTATGTACTAGTGAATAATTTCACTCATTATTACACAAACATAACTTAAGTGGTCTGATTTTATTTATTTTTTTTATTTTTTATTTTTTTTTTTAAGCACCAAGTTCAACTTAAGACTCACCAGATTGAGGTTTCCTAAGAATCTCTACTTTCAGCCTGTTTTATAATACTGTATTTTTTCCCCTCCCTCCAATCCCATGTTGCCCATTAATGTTTTTTTGGGGGGATAGGAAACAGATCCCATGTTCAGATCTTCCTTCCTTGGGTCTCAGTCCTCAGCTCAAGTAATTTCACACAGTCTTTTCTTCTCCAACCCTCGCTCTGTCCACTCCCTAAGATGTGAGAGCCATGTTGAAAGATACCTGGCTGGCTTTATGTCGGTCTTGAACAGCCTCAGAAAGCCATGGGCCTGGTATTCCTATTTAACTGTCTACCTTTTACCCTTCATGGGGGCCCTAAGGAGTGAACTGTATCTCTTCCCCACACTCCTGGCTTTCCTTTGATCAAGACTTCCAATGCTGCTACTACAACCCCCTCCTCAATACCTTCTGTCAGCTCAATTCATTCCAAGTCATCCACCTCATGGTAAGTCACTTCTTTCCATAGTTTTGTTCCCCAGGTTTTTCACTTCCTACTTCTCTGATACTCATTCATAATAGCTCCTTGTGGAATCCCACACTTTTGACAACTACCTCAAATGCATATTTATCCTCAATTTGATCCAATTCCCCTTAATATCCCCCTTTCCCCCTTTTGCTAGTGCCTACCCTAACTCATTTACTCTCCCTCTCTATCATCAGCACTCTTTCCCCTTTTCAATACCATACCATCCTAATATGCAGTACAACATTTGATATGTAGCACATTTAATTGTAAACTAACCCCTCTATCCTTTTCGCTAATACACTTTCCTATCATGCTAAATAAATAACCTTTGATGCCTAGCACATTCATTTGTTTTGTAGGCATTAACCATTCAACTTATTATTTTGAAGTTGCTACAGAAATGTTTGTTAAAGTATAAATTACAAAATTTCCATAAGGCAATAACCTAATGAATTAATTATATGAATATATTCTTAATTCTACAAAGCTGAAGAGGGGTGTGTCATACTTAACTGTGCTATCGACTATAAAAATACATTTACAGAAAATAAGATTATAAATTAACAATGGCAGTTTTGTAAGACAATTAAATGATGACAACTACTGTATAAAATCATTAAAGCATTATAGTACTTACTTTTGTACTGTGAGCACTAAATTTATGAAACCATTTACCAATGAACATGACAAGATAAAAGTCAGAAATTTAAGAGCTAATGTAAAAAAATATATAAATAATAACATAATAATGACAATAATAATAATAATAATAGTAATAATAATAATGATAATAATAATAATAATAATAATAATAATAATAATTATAATAATAATAATATAGCAGAAGTTAAAGGAAATATAAAAATATAGGACAGCTTTGTGAACTGTCAAATTAACATTATAAGACTATAAGAAAGTAGAAGGCAAAGCATGACAGTGTCAGAAAGAGTGAAATTATGGCAGAAAAAAATTACTTGAAGTCAAAAGTAACAAAAAATACAAGGTACATATAGCATTTAATATTATATTAAATATATATCTTCAATATCCTCAACTAAAATGCATCAGTAAGTTTCAGTAAATTATTTTAAGCTGATTACATTACTAAGCACAAATAATTAGCACATTTTATAATTACCTGAAATTATTTTTTTCTCAATTTTCCCATACACCTAACTAATGTGAAAAATAACTAAAAACACACTATTATGACTTAATACACAAATAAACAGTCCTCATTCATCATTTATCATTTATGCTACTAAATTAATATGAGCATAGAATTCCCAAATTAATGTTCACAATTAAAACATATTTACAAATCACATTTTAAGTACACATTACAAAACTGAGCTGATTTTTTTCAATGCAATAATAAAATCCATTTTAGAAATATGATATACCACAGTTATATTTTGGGAAATATTATGAAAGGTACATTTATATCATACTTTTGTAAAGAATAATCAACATATTTAAGATTTTTCCTATAACCTCTTTGGTAGTATGTACAGTAACAGCAAATTTCAGCAGTATCAAATATTAAAAACAATATAGAATTATTTAAAGCTTGTAGTTAATCTTGGTACCTATGAAAAGTATAGGAAACACAAGTGTATACACATTACTAAACATGCAAATACACATCTAAATGACAAAGCCAGTGCTTGTGCAA